GCAGCTACGTTGCCGTTTCGCTCCCTGCAAAAAATCTTTCTATGACTGATTGAACTGGAGCTGGGTGAGCCGCGCAGGACATAACCGACGGACCTGTGAAGCTTTCCAGGAGGCAGAGGCTTAGATCACTGGACGACAGAGTTGGTCGCCGTGTGCACAGACAGGGTTAACGTCGGTATAAACAACAGAATTGTGCCAAAAGTCCGCCAACTGGCTGCGGTGGGAGACTCCCCTGTGCACATTCTGTGCCCCGCGCACACACTGGAGAACTGCGCAAAATCATCTGATCACAACGTTCACACTCTGTGGTCAAGCTGCTGCAGTTTTATTTACACCAAAGTGGAGTGAAACACACAGCTGCAAACTTACTCAGGGTGTTATGGAAGAGTTTGAAATCAGACAGAGGTGGAAGAAGTACTCAGATCTTGTGTAGGAATACTCTGTTACAGTAAAAGTCCTGCATTCAAAATGTTACTCAAGTAAAATTAGAAAAGTATTATCAAAATATAGTGAAAGTAGAGACAGTAAAAGTAGTCATTGTGCAGATTGGTCCATTTCAGAATAATATATATGATATGTTTTATAATGATTGATCATGAAAGTGTTCTCAAAGCTGGTAAAGGAGCAGCTAGTTTGAATGACTTTGTATACTGCAGGGTAGCTTGTGAATTTACTCCAGGTGGAACTAAAGTCTGATTTAACACTTGATTAGATTTCACATCATTCATCCACATCTGTAAAGTAACTAAAGGTATTAAATACATGTAGTGGAGTAAAAGTAGAAGTACAAAGTAGCATAAAATAGAAATACTCAAGTCAACTACAAGTATCTCAAAATTGTACTTGAGTAAATAAGTGTGCTTTGTTACTTCCCACATTTGAAATCAGATATGACTTCAAGTCATGTGATCATTTCTTAGTATTTGATCCTTCAACTTGGCCTCAGGAAATGCAAGGACTTCACAGTTTTGGCAACAAGTTTTGGAGAAAGCAAATCGGAGGCTTAAAAAGAGACAGGGAGGTGCATCTTCATCATCTTCATCATCTAGCATGCAAGAAGTGTAAATTGAGGACAGTGAAGGAGACACTGAGGAGGACCACGCTTCGTGTGGGGTGAGTACCAAACGCTGTCTCTTGGTACTCATCTGAGTAACTCACTAAAAAAGTTATGTGCACCCCTGTATATAAGCTCTTGAGAGACTGTTTCTTGAGAATGTCTTGCACAAGCAACACTCCAATGGCTGATAGCTCCGCACGAAACATGTTTTCGATGGACGAGAGTGAAAATGGCACACGCTATTTGTTGTTTGTTTATATCACAGTCTGTTCTTCTTCTCTGTCTTCCGGTTGTTGCCTATTTTGAATGACGAACACACACTGCCGCCGCCTGCTGGTAAGGAGTTATTGCCACTCACGCATGCGCAGTTCGTACGTGCTCGGCTGAAGTCTTTGCGGTGTGTTCCAGTGCAACACATGGCCAAGACGCAGGAGAACACGGCGACGCAACAGTCGGCGTCGGCGAGTTCTCTGGTGACTGCCTGGTGTGTCAGGGCCTTAGGCTTCAAGAGAATGAGACAGATAATATAGATCGCAGGTTGAATTACATGAAATTACAAGACATGAGTAAAGGTAAAATAATACAATGGAAAAAAGAGAAGTGAGAAGATGGGACAATATAAATATTGCACGATTAGATCAGATACAATATGACATACTAAGTTATGAGAAAAGACAATCGATTGTTTGATAGAGAATGATTGTGTGATAAAGGATGAAATGAGACAAAAGAGCTAAAGATAAAGATGAAATGATGCATGAGGAGGTGGGAGGACACACTGGAGATTCTGAATAAGATCCAGTGAGTTAACCTTATATGAGAGGGGGGACAGAAATGTAACAAGGTTAGATTCACAAAGGTCAGGCAGATAAAGTCCCTGAGCGGACCACTTACTGTATGGCGCATTTCCACTACAGCGCGGTTTAAGCGTGCCGTGCCCGGAAGTTTTTGGTTGTGTTTCCACTAGGCGTAGTTCCGGGTACTTTTTCACAGTTTTTCTGGCTCTCCAAAATCGAGGTTCTTTCCGGGCCAACAAGGCTGAGTATGCTAAACTAGTGAGAGAATCGCTGGCAACTACAACAAAATGAACATATTTAACCGTGATTTAATTGTAATACACGTTTCAAAATGATGCCGAAGTAACAACATACTGATACCGGTGAGTAAAAACCATGAATTAATGCTTTGTCAAGTCTGCAGACAGACGGCAGGCGAAAAACCTTTTAAAATGCGTGTTTTCTAAATGGAGATTGGCTAAGCTAACGCAGTATATGCTCCGACCGTCCACACTCACAACAACGGCCTATACAGACATAAATAAACCAGTGACTGTATTCGCCATGACACAGACAGTCTGTGGTTTGTACTTGTTTAACTTTTGTCTAGTTTCTGAACAGATATGAGGAGCTGTGAGCTTGAGTGCTAACAGCTAACGGCTGATGTTGGTTTTGTGTTTCGCATTGAAGATGACGTCACGGCTCCGCCTACACTGCGTTACTATAGTTACTACCCCAGTTCCTAAACTGTTATGGAAACGCATAAAGTGAGCCTGGCCTACCAAGGCCTAACTATACCGTACTAAGCCGTGCGAGGCCCTGCAGTGGAAATGTGGCATTAGTGTGGACTGGTACTTTCAGGAAACCAGTTCCCCTACTGGTACTGGGTCCCTTCGACCAAGGTACTGTATATACATATATAGCTACCCACCAGCGACGTGCAGTCAGTGGAGGCAGAGCCTCACCTGTCATACTCCAATGTAACGGAAAAACAACTAAAGAAAAACGAAATAGTAATAATAATAAAATGTCTCCACTGATCTGTGTTGTAAGTGTGATTTATGTATGATTCCAATCGCTTTTTAGAGTCAAAATCAGCAAATTTGCCGAGCTCCGCTACGGGAGCGATGACAAGTGAGGCAGGGGCGTGCTCTGCCTCTCGTAAGCCCACAGTAACTTGCTGGAGCGCGGGCACTAATGTAGCGCGGGCACTTATTTTGTGAGCGCGCTCAAGCCATTTACCGTGGGCTGAGTTGAGGCACAGATGAGATCTGCCTCACCTCAGAATGCGTCACCCCACAGAAACTGGCTGGAAAGCGGGCCCTAAGCGCATGCCTGTTCCCATCTCACTGTAGGTCACCAATGTAATGTATGTAGATCCCTTTATTACATTTATCCTCGCCATCCATAGTCTCTAAATAACTTATTTCACGTATATATGATATTTAGGCTCGCTGCTAGGGTGACCAGGTCCCAACAAACCAAATGTGGGACAAGGAGTATGTTTGTGTGGGACAATGTGGGACACCCTCTCAACACCCCCCCCCCCCCCCCCCCCACCCCCCCGTTGAAAATGTACTAGCGGTGATTATTTGCGGTACCGAGGTGGGCCGGTCGAAAGTCCCGGGCTGATTTGTAGTCCCAGTCCGCCGCTGCCCACGGGTAAATGTCTTCCCAGTCTTTGTTGTATGTGCATCTTCTTCTTTTCTTAGCTGTAGTTTCAGTTTCCTCCATTTTCCATAACCTGCTGCGTCGCCTGCGTTATTGACTTTCATTGTTGTTGTTTGGCAGGGCCGCGGCGGTGTGTGTGTGAGTGAGTTACTCTCATTGGTTAACACTTGACCAGCACCCGCCGTGTCTTACAGTTTGATTGACAGCAAACACAGCTCCGTGATGATAGCCTTCCCTGCTTTCTCAACAGCCATTGGATAAATCTGATTTTAGAAAAGCGTTTTAGCCAATCAAAATGAAATATGCGGGACATCGTCTCAATTTGCGGGACGCACCAAAAGTCGTGAAAATGCTGTGCAGTCCCGCGCAAAGCGGGACATCTGGTCACCCTACTCGCTGCTCTCAACGGCAATGAAAATGCACCAGGGGAGGCAGCCATAACCTCTGCCGCACTGAAGGGGGCGCACGTGAGCCCACAGGTTCTTGTTGCTACTGTTATTCTACACAGAGACGGTAGACGTAACAACAAACTAGACTTTTGAAACTACAGGAAGATAAGGAGGACTTTTACAAAAAAGTAATAGAGATTGTTGTCCAGAAGGATAGCATGGACTTCATCTTCAAGTCAAGGTAAGACCACATTTGTAATGAAAATGGGATCTTACTAAGAAAGAACAATCCAATATTTAGATTTTGAGTATCCTTTTGTTGAACGGTCTGTTTAAAATGAATCGAAGCATCAGACTAAAAAAGCTTTTGAAAATAACCGAATATTTCGATTAAGGTCAAAATATAATATTTGTAAATCTGACTCAGTGCCTCACCAGCCATGAACCTCACCGCACGTCACTGCTACCCACTGCCCCTAACAATATGTCGGGTTAAAACAGAGTCTACATTCAGTGGGTGTTTCTCAATCGCGAGTAAAGCTGCTTCAGAGCCACTATTTCAAGCATACTACGTCATCGAGTGCCGCCGAAGTACTGTTCCAATCTCCAGCATACTTGGAAATCTACCTAGCCCGGCGTACTCCGTTTGGAGAAATATCGAGGCTGTACCTGAGTAGATTCCGCGGTCTTAAAATCCCCACAATGCTTTGCGCACGGACCAATTTCCCCAAATCTGTGGCAGAAGATGTAAGAGGCGGGGCCTCTCATATGACGCACAGCTGCACACTTGCTAGCGTGTTCCACACTTTGTTTTCCGAATGCCAGGAGGTATTCTTGACTCGCTTCTGAAGCAAGATGCTCGGCAGACATGTGCTACCAAGCAAGCGTACTCGCGATTGAGAAACACCCAGTGTGTGTGTGGTGCTGTGTGTGTGAGGATTAGAAGTCCTCCAATCCCATTTCCTTACATGAAACGAATGGATGGGACAGTGTGAGGCTAAATCAGACCAGAACAAACATCATGTTATAAAAGAGTTGAACAGACGAGACAAGTCAATGGAGTCACTGTGATTGGCTAAAAGTAATGTCATGTGACGTGTGTTGCAGGTGGGTCAGATGGTGCTGACAGGTGAGGGTCACTCTGATTGGTTGTCTGGCTGCAGCTTCCACCCAGATGGAGGGAAATTAGCAACAACGAGTGGAGACAGCACGGTGAGTTCCTCTCCGTCCCGTGCCGTCCCACAGCAGGACGCAGACCTCGTAGAGTCGTACAGATGCAGCGCATCATTGTGGGCGGTTCCACCTTAGCGGGGCCCAGGCCCGGTTCTACAGGGATGCATTATCATGCATTGCACCCCCAATAGAATTGTATGCACCCTCTATTGAAAAAAGAGATGGGAGTGAAAAATATTACAAATATAATAATAATAATAATTTCATTGAAAACAAAACAAATTGTAATTGTAATTAAATGACATTGTCTGCTGCATTCATTTTGTCCACTAACACGGTAAGTCACGTTGTTATGTCAGATGCCTGTACAGCAGTGCAGTGACACTGCATCTGTGGATAATCATGGATATACAAAATGGTTAAAACAACCATCACTACTCGCCAGCAACACTGCATCTACTGCAGACAATAGCAACCAGGTGCAACCAAAGTCTGATTTAAGAGTCGATCATATTTCACATCAATAATCCAAATCTGTAAAGTTACTAAAGGCATTAAATAAATGTAGTGGAGTTAAAGTACACCTTTTACCTCCGAATTGTAGTGTACATAGTAGCATAACATTGAAATACTTAAGTAAAGTACAATTACCTCATAATTGTACTTAAGTACAGTAAATCTACTTAGTTACTTTACACCACTGCCTCAGCAGGTGCAGGTGGGGCCCCTGACTCTGGTGTTTCTAACCCCTAACTCTGGTGTTTCTAACCCCTAACTCTAGTGTTTCTAACCCCTAACTCTAGTGTTTCTAACCCCTAACTCTAGTGTTTCTAACCCCTAACTCTAGTGTTTCTAACCCCTAACTCTAGTGTTTCTAACCGCTAACTCTGCAGGTGTTTCTAACCCCTAACTCTGGTGTTTCTAACCCCTAACTCTGGTGTTTCTAACCCCTAACTCTGGTGTTTCTAACCCCTAACTCTGCAGGTGTTTCTAACCCCTAACTCTGCAGGTGTTTCTAACCCCTAACTCTGGTGTTTCTAACCCCTAACTCTGGTGTTTCTAACCCCTAACTCTGGTGTTTCTAACCCCTAACTCTGCAGGTGTTTCTAACCCCTAACTCTAATGTTTCTAACCCCTAACTCTGGTGTTTCTAACCCCTAACTCTAGTGTTTCTAACCCCTAACTCTAGTGTTTCTAACCCCTAACTCTGGTGTTTCTAACCCCTAACTCTGGTGTTTCTAACCCCTAACTCTAGTGTTTCTAACCCCTAACTCTGGTGTTTCTAACCCCTAACTCTGGTGTTTCTAACCCCTAACTCTGGTGTTTCTAACCCCTAACTCTGGTGTTTCTAACCCCTAACTCTAGTGTTTCTAACCCCTAACTCTGGTGTTTCTAACCCCTAACTCTGGTGTTTCTAACCCCTAACTCTAGTGTTTCTAACCCCTAACTCTAGTGTTTCTAACCCCTAACTCTGGTGTTTCTAACCCCTAACTCTGGTGTTTCTAACCCCTAACTCTGGTGTTTCTAACCCCTAACTCTAGTGTTTCTAACCCCTAACTCTAGTGTTTCTAACCCCTAACTCTAGTGTTTCTAACCCCTAACTCTAGTGTTTCTAACCGCTAACTCTGCAGGTGTTTCTAACCCCTAACTCTGGTGTTTCTAACCCCTAACTCTGGTGTTTCTAACCCCTAACTCTGGTGTTTCTAACCCCTAACTCTGCAGGTGTTTCTAACCCCTAACTCTGGTGTTTCTAACCCCTAACTCTGGTGTTTCTAACCCCTAACTCTGGTGTTTCTAACCCCTAACTCTGGTGTTTCTAACCCCTAACTCTGCAGGTGTTTCTAACCCCTAACTCTGGTGTTTCTAACCCCTAACTCTGGTGTTTCTAACCCCTAACTCTGGTGTTTCTAACCCCTAACTCTGGTGTTTCTAACCCCTAACTCTGGTGTTTCTAACCCCTAACTCTAGTGTTTCTAACCCCTAACTCTAGTGTTTCTAACCCCTAACTCTGGTGTTTCTAACCCCTAACTCTGGTGTTTCTAACCCCTAACTCTGGTGTTTCTAACCCCTAACTCTAGTGTTTCTAACCCCTAACTCTAGTGTTTCTAACCCCTAACTCTAGTGTTTCTAACCGCTAACTCTGCAGGTGTTTCTAACCCCTAACTCTGGTGTTTCTAACCCCTAACTCTGGTGTTTCTAACCCCTAACTCTGGTGTTTCTAACCCCTAACTCTGGTGTTTCTAACCCCTAACTCTGCAGGTGTTTCTAACCCCTAACTCTGCAGGTGTTTCTAACCCCTAACTCTGGTGTTTCTAACCCCTAACTCTGGTGTTTCTAACCCCTAACTCTGGTGTTTCTAACCCCTAACTCTGGTGTTTCTAACCCCTAACTCTAGTGTTTCTAACCACTAACTCTGGTGTTTCTAACCCCTAACTCTGGTGTTTCTAACCCCTAACTCTAGTGTTTCTAACCCCTAACTCTAGTGTTTCTAACCCCTAACTCTGGTGTTTCTAACCCCTAACTCTGGTGTTTCTAACCCCTAACTCTGGTGTTTCTAACCCCTAACTCTAGTGTTTCTAACCCCTAACTCTAGTGTTTCTAACCCCTAACTCTAGTGTTTCTAACCCCTAACTCTAGTGTTTCTAACCGCTAACTCTGCAGGTGTTTCTAACCCCTAACTCTGGTGTTTCTAACCCCTAACTCTGGTGTTTCTAACCCCTAACTCTGGTGTTTCTAACCCCTAACTCTGGTGTTTCTAACCCCTAACTCTGCAGGTGTTTCTAACCCCTAACTCTGCAGGTGTTTCTAACCCCTAACTCTGGTGTTTCTAACCCCTAACTCTGGTGTTTCTAACCCCTAACTCTGGTGTTTCTAACCCCTAACTCTGCAGGTGTTTCTAACCCCTAACTCTGCAGGTGTTTCTAACCCCTAACTCTGCAGGTGTTTCTAACCCCTAACTCTAGTGTTTCTAACCCCTAACTCTGGTGTTTCTAACCCCTAACTCTGGTGTTTCTAACCCCTAACTCTAGTGTTTCTAACCCCTAACTCTAGTGTTTCTAACCCCTAACTCTGGTGTTTCTAACCCCTAACTCTGCAGGTGTTTCTAACCCCTAACTCTGCAGGTGTTTCTTCCTGCAGGTGCGGCTTTGGGACTTCTCTCGTGGCGGCGGCTGTGTGTTGACGCTGAGCCACAGCCGGCCCACTTGGGGTTGCTGCTTCCACTCCTGTGGTCACTTCCTGGCTTCCTGCTATGCTGACAGGACGGCCCGGCTGTGGGACCTGAGCAGCCAGCGCTGCACCCTCACCCTGCGCCGCCACACCGCCTCCGTCAACAGTGTCTGCTTCCTGCCCTTCTCCGACCTCCTTCTCACCTGCTCAGCCGACAAAACCCTGGCCCTGTGGGATGCCAGGCTGGGGGTCTGCACTGCTATCTTCCAGGGACACCAGCACCCCTGCAACCACTCCACCTGCAGCATGGCGGGTCACACCGTGGCATCCTGCGACTCCTGTGGCATCATCAACCTGTGGGACATCAGGAAGCCTGCGGTGTCCATGGCCACAGTGGATGCCGGGCCCCGGGCTGCCAACCAGGTGGCGTTCAGCCCGTCAGGGAGGACGCTGGCTGTGGCCTGCTCCGATGGACTGGTCAGGGTCGTGGAGGTGGACTCTCTGGTGTCCAGCAGCCTGCCGGGACACATGGACAGTGTGCAGAGCGTGGCCTTCGACCACAGGGGGGGGACTGTGCTGTCAGCAGGGAGTGATGGACTGATCAATGTCTGGGCCTGAACCAAGAACTGAACCCTGCTGAGGAAGCTTCAGAGGATCTCAGATTTGGCTGTCAGCAAGGCTCTTCAAATATTTCAGTTCTGAAAAAGTCCTTTTATACTAGTAGATAGAATACCTGAGTCCAGTCTTTTTTTCTTTTTGTTGTAACTTTAAGAAATAAACGTTTTCCTGCAGTCCTTTACGTTGAAGCTGTGTTTTTCTACATAAAATACATTATATAAAACTCAAAATAAAAAATAGGAACTGGTCAAAGAATAAGATTACGAATCTTTTTTTAATCTTTTGCTACCGGATAGTTTTGGATGAACAGAGAAACAAACATGTTTTGATCAATATCCCAAAAAGTTTTGAGATTTGATACCCAGCCACCATTTCTAATGTATGTAACAAGCTTTAGAATAAAATATGTTCACATACTGTATGTACGAGGAAAACAAGGATCACAGGGTTAAATGACTACAGACCCGTCGCCTTGACTTCTGTGGTTATGAAGTCCTTCGCGAGTTCTTTCCCCTCTGCTCTTCTCCCTGTACACCAACAGCTGGACCTCCAGTCACCAGTCTGTCAAGTTCCTGAAGTTCAGACAACACCCTCATCGGACTGATCTCTGGTGGGAACGAGTCTGCCTACAGGGGGGTGGGGGGTCGACCATCTGGTGACCTGGTGCAGGGACAACCACCTGTGGAGATGGTTGTGGACTTCAGAAGAACGCAGCCCCACCGCCCCCATCACTCTGTGTGACTCCCCAGTCACTACTGTGGAGTCTTTCTGCTTCCTGGGCACCATCATCGCCCAGGACCTCAAATGGGAGCAGAACACCGGCTCCCTCATCAAAAAAGCCCAGCAAAGGATGTTCTTCCTGAGGCAGCTGAAGAAATTCCACCTGCCAAAGACGATGATGGTGAACTTCTACACCTCCATCATGGAGTCCATCCTCACCTCCTCCATCACCATCTGGTACGCCGCAGCCACAGCCAAGGATAAGGGCAGGCTGCAGCGTGTCATCCACTCAGCAGAGAAGGTGATCGGCTGCAATCTGCCATCCCTCCATCACCTGCAGGACCCTGAGGCGGGCAGGAAAGATAGTGGCCGACCCCTCCCACCCTGGACACAAACTGTTCAACCCACTCCCCTCTGGCAGGAGGCTGTGCTCCATCAGGACCAAAACCTCTCGCCACCTGAACAGTTTCTTCCCCTCCGCTTCCGGCCTCATCAACAAGGCCCGGCTCCCCCACTGACACTGACTTTTATCCACCCCATAATAACATTATGCATTACATTAATGCACATCATGTGAACAACATCTTGTTCTTTTTAAAAATGCTTAATACTGCACATGTTGCACATTTCTCCTCCACACTACCTCTTTTAAATCAGCACAGCTCTCCACTCTAAATACAGTATATAGTAATGTTCATATGTAAATATTGTTAACTTGTTAAAAAGTCTTAACATTTTTTTTTTATGTAGCTGTTATAACAGTCCTTATTTTATTTTATTTAGTTTTGATGCGTTTTCTTCTTTCTGTGTCTTTGTATGCTGCACATATACCAAAGCGGATTCCTAGTAGGTATCCTACTTGGTAATAAAAACCTTTTCTGATTCTGATGTCTGTTGTATCCAGATTTTTTTGTAAATCTTTAAAAAAAAATGAAGATCTTTTTGGCACAATAGAGTGGTGCAGGGATGGCGTATTTAGCCGGAAGTAAGCTGCGCATGGGTTCCCTCGACAAAAAAGCAATGAGATTTCTCCATAGGATTTTGGAAAATAGCTCGAAATAAGGTCTGTGGAAAACGAACCTGTTTGATAAATGCACGTTTTGTTCAGCAGGTGTTGAGATCTCCATAGTATGTTGAATACTTAAAACGAAAGTTAATTATAATCAAGTATAATCAATTATATTCTTGTATAACCCACAATGAAAATGCATCATATTTTATGATTTTCTATATTTACAGTATAAACAAAGTGGTTTGGTTTGGTGTGTAAGGCCTATAATGGTTTATGGGTGTCACTGATAAAGAGAGGAGGCAGTTTCTTCCCTCTCCCCTCACAGCAGTACGCAGGGAGGGGGGCTCCTGACTTAGTGAAAAATAACTGAGGCCCCAAAAAGGTGGTTATGTCATAGCCGAGAATAATATTTTGCAAGTCCTGCACACTAGAGGTCATGAACTTTTTACACAAACATGGGAAGGTGTGTCTTATGCCATAGCCATAGAATATGTCTGGTCATGTCCAGTTCTGTAAATCAGAGGCCATGCCCAGTTTCCACAAATATGGGTATGGAGGAGGTGTCTTTAGGTTTTTCTATCCTGTTTTCGAGCATAAAGACACTGGCTGATGGGGAGGAACTTCCTTTTTGGAGAGAGTGAGAGAGAAGGGGGGGGTCGACTGGTATACTCTCTCCCGGTAAAGCTCTCTCCCCGGAGAGCTGGGTTTTTGCTCTCGGTAAGGTTCTCTCAAACTTGGTAAATATCTCTCGAATTTCTTTGTTGAAAGTGGAGTGAATTTCTGGGTTGAATGAGTGGAATGAATTGTAGTGTGTTTGTGAGTATTAGTAACCGCCACCTGTGAGGATCTTCCTCCGAATACATGCGGGATATAGGTATGTGTTTGTGAATGTTAGTCCCCGCCATCTGTGTCGGATATAGGAGTGTGTTTGTGAGTATTAGTAACCGCCACCTGTGAGGATCTTCCTCCGAATTCATGCGGATAGGTATGTGTTTGTGAATGTTAGTACCCGCCATCTGTGTCGGAAAAAAGGTATGGAATTGATGTGAATTGATTTGGTGAATGAAAGTTTGAATGTGCTTTTTATTATCACCGGTCTTTTATGAGGAAATGCCTCTAAATTCTATCGGGAGATTTTAAATGTCACAACTGAATTGGGCAGTTGAAGTTACAAATTATGGTAATAAATGTAAAACTGTGAATTAAAGTTTCATATTAGAACATGATCACAGCATGATAGGTTTAGTATGATTATAATGTTGTTAACGAGAGACGGTAAAAACCCTGTATAAGTTTGGACCTATTTTTCTTCAAATAAACTGATCCCACCTTTTGGATTGGGACAACTTAAAAGACATCTGCGCTCTCCTCTCCTGCTTGAAAGGTAAGATTGCACACTGCCACACTCACACTTATGTAGGGCCACACCTCATTTACTGATATCAAAATCCTTCGGGATCGCTTAAACAGAGTTAGGGGGTCGTCTAAATTGAAACAGCAGGTAATTGAACCTGGTTCTTCAGGGAGTTAATAGAGGTGAGATCTTGCTGACGTTGGTGGATCTGAGCCAAGCAGTAAACTTACATAGACTCAATAACTTCGGTTAGGTTAATTAGTAGGTCTGAGTAATTTGCCGGAATAAATTATCAGTCCTCCCGACTCTTAGACAGGATAATCTCCACATGTCTACCCTACTTTTATAATTTTCGAATCATAAATCTAATCGCCAGAAGCAAAATGCTAACGTTATGCTATAAACGAACTACAGTCGAGTACAGCAGGGCTGTCACGACTTCAACGACACGCCAACTTTAGATCCATATTCAAAAATACAGATTCTAAATGGTACAACTTGAAGCGTTTGTTTTAACAGTTTGCAAGAGCGCAGGTACTTGCTTTCAAGCAGAACAGGGGCAAACAAACTTAGCGGGAGTGTTTACGTGTTCGGCAAAATGACGTACACCGTCCTCGACAACTTCTGTAGTCCTATTCAGCCACTTGTTACTCTTCAAAAAGTAGGGGTCACTGCTGATGTATTTAATGCCGTAGAACAAAACGTGATCTGTCTCTTAAATTTGTGTCAACCACAGACCTTATTTCCAGCTATGTTCCAAAATTCTATGGAGAAATCCCATTGACTCTGAGACGAGGGAACCGGTAGTGGTAAAATGCTAACTCACTTCCGGGATTTAGGACTCGTCACTGCACCACTCTATAATGTGCTAATTAAAAATAGAAGTGTGTGTGAACATGGACACAACACCACCACAAATAACTTAAAGGGGCATACAGATTGTATGTGGATTGTTGCAGATGACATCACCGATTCTCTGACAGACAATTAAAGTCTGCACAGCTCTCCACATTACATTATAGTATTTGTTATATTTGTACTGTACACATTTTCTTTATTTTTCATTTGTTATAATATTTTTTATTATTTATTACCTTTTGCTCCTTTTTTACAACGTATTCCTCTTACTGTGTTTATGTGCAACAAAGCTAATTCCTCATATGTATAAACCTTCTTGGCATTAAACCCTGATTCAGTTTTACACCCCCTCTGCTCAAACAGTTATAATATTTCCCCGTTTCAGTTTTGTATCCGTTTCACTTGTTATGTCCTGGGTGCTGTATCTGGGCCATGGGTAGGTGTGTATAGAGCGGTGCAGGAATGAATACAAATATTTAAAAAAAAATGTCTTCTTACACCTGTGTTGAACTAAGAGCTTTCCCAAATAATCAAAGTGTAAAGTTCCAAAGGTCTGATCATATAGATCACCACATTCTTCTTGTTGGGGTTTAGACTTTGGAGTTGAGCATGGCCTCTTCATCAGCATCATATTGTAACTAATGTGTGTTACCATTCATATTGTCAGCAATTGGATGTCCACATTTAGAATGGAGTAATGTTAACAAGTAAAAACATGGAAAAGTTGGCATTTAGACATTTTAATGATAGCATGTTAATATGACTACAGTGACAGTTGACATGTTCACTTGTTAACGTTCATATTTTAAAATGCTCCAGTTAGCATGCTCACATCCATGGTAAACATGCTGATGTATAGCAAAATAAAAAAATATAAAATGAATGGGTTCTGACACATTTCCAAGCTTAGGTTTAGTTTTAGCAGTTTTACTTGACAGAATGCTAACATGTTAATGCATTAATGTATCCAACTAGCAATGTGACACTGCCACCCGGACAGCATCGCTGATAGCTTGGCTATTTATAGAAAGAGTTATCATTGAAGAAAATGTCAGTGCAGTAACAAACAACATTATGTCCTTTATTCATATTGGCTATTTCTGATCTCAATATGACACTTTTAGCACATCTGTTTGGTCATTTCTTCCTTCAGAGAGGGATTGTCTTTAACATCACTGAGACGCTGCAGAACCAGCACAAAACTGGAAGCGGAGGTCTAGCTCCATCAAAAGTAAAACAATCCACCATCCAACAGCTCTTTCCATCTGATATCCCTTTTATTGTATTAGAGCTTTAGGAACCATCATTTCCTGTAACCCCGGTCAAATGTCAAACAAGAGGACTTACAAAACGTTTATTTGGTCTATATTTTTTTGTCCTTTTTCAAGTTTCAAACTTCCACAACTGTGAGCTGTATCCAATGTTTTAAAGCTTTTTTTTTAACACTTTAAACAACTTGAACATATTTAAAAAAATAATTTGATTTAGTCTCTGGCCGAGTAATTTTTTTAGAGGATTGCACCTTTTCATCCAACACACAACTCCAGAACGGAAGTAACCTAAGACCATGTGATGTTGCTGCTGGAGGTGACAGCCAACAGTCCCAGAGGACAGAGAGGACTCTGAGGTCCACATTGCCTGAGGGTTGAGGGCCACACTAACCGAAGGCCCTCGCTCTGGAAGAGGACTTCAGCTTCAGGAGGGTTTCAGCTGGGTGCAGGAGAGTCCGTCAGCAGAGGAAGAGGAGTAACGTCCTTCATCTTCATCCTTCTGCCCTCTTTCCTCTTTGGGTTTCTCTTTGGGTTCTTCCACCAGCACTTTCAGACGGCTCAGGTGATGCATAGCTCTGAGGTTTGAAAATATTCTTCAAAAACATTGCTCTCAACTTACAACTGTGTTGGTGCGAGTTAATGCAAACATTTGAACATGTACATTTGAGGGCTTCACAAGGGCACAGTGCAGCATATGGAGAGTATGCACACAAACACAGAGTTATGGTGTGGTTCATCTGCCGGGAAATTCTACAGATGGCCAGTCCGCCCCTGAAAATGGTCTATGCACACGTTATTATTAATCATAATAAATAAAAAATGGATAGAATTTTTTTCACATATTTTTATTTTGTAATCATCTCGTGACCCCCACTCGGGGTCTCCCCTACTTTTGGAACCCCTGGGCTAGAGGTTGAGCAGCTCTATAATGTTAATCATGTTCATCATCCTATTTTACAGGGTTCATACACTTTTTCACCAATGATTTTCCATGACTTCTCCATGACCTTTACCTAATTTTCCATGACCAAAAAAATTACTCTTTCTCAGCGCTACCACTGAAAATGGTTTATTTTAACATGGAACAGGAAAATAAGGTCTGCATATGAAACATGTTGTGCCTATCTAAAACAAATCAAATAGTAGGCTTAGCTACACGCTGAAGCAACTCAAATCTCTCACCAGCAAAATACCTCGTCAGTTAAATGCCATTTTACGTTTCATTACTATACGATAGGGGTGTAACGGTTCACAAACATTTCGGTTCGGTACGTACCTCGGTTTTTAGGTCACGGTTCGGTACGTTTTCGGTACAGCAGAAAAAATAATCACAAAACATAAAATATATATATTTTTTTATTATTATTAAACTGTGAATAATGTATTCACTCAAATAAATACAAAATATAATAAAATAAACATTAAGGTGCAGCATTTCGATGAACTGAAATAATCTGTATTTGAACTGTACTGTACTAGTATCTAAGCAGCCAGTTTGACATGACTTGCTTGTCATTGTATTTTCATGTTTTTTTAAAGAAAAATTAACTTGTCCACACTGCTTGCCGAAAGGGCAGATCTGCTGGCACTAACAATGTCTCCTGCTGTGGAGAACACCCTCTCACTAGGGACAGAGGTAGCAGATACAGCCAGGTAGCGCTTTGCTAACATGGCAACATAAGGATATTTGGCGTTTGTAATAGCTTTGGCTCGGTCTGAACTTTTTGCGAGTGGTGGAGGCTTAAATGCTAGTGGGAGTTGGGTTTGCACTTCAGTCATTTTTCTTTTGGTACCGGTGATATTCACGTTCGGGTGATGCCTTTTCAAATGAGTGTGCAAGTTTGATGTGTTGCCAGCCGCGTAACCAATTTTAGTTGAACAATGCCGACAAACAGCTTTGGTTCGGTCCATCTGTCTTTGTCCGTCATCCTTGTACGTAACTGCGAAACCAAAATGTTCCCAAACCGGAGACTTCAATGATGCTGGAGGATTTTCGAGCTCAACTTTACCTGCGTTCGCCATTTCGACAGTTCCTCAAATTACTGACTAAATTTGAACGCATCCCTGTAACCAGCTCTCATAGTATGCCTCTCGTCCAATGAAATGACTTGGTCGCTCTATGACGCGTTGAACCCAATGTGAGCAAATTACTCTGAACGCTGCGACGCAGCACCTGAGATTACTTCCAAAAGGTTGTTCACGTTCTCAATCTTTTACGTTTAACGTTATATTCGTTCGGTAAACTTCTGTAAACTTCGGTACACACGTGTACCGAACCGAAGGGCCCGTACCGAATCATTTCGGTACGGGTACGTATACCGTTACACCCCTACTATACGATACAGTATTTATTATCATTATAGTATTACTATTTTGGCGATTAGATAAAATATAAATTATATTTGATGCCACTTTAGTTACATTTCCATGACTTTTCCAAAACTTTGGGAAAAATATTGTTTTCCATAACTTTTCCAGGGCCTGGAATTAGCATTTTGAATTTCCATGACTTTTCCAGGTTTTTAATGATTGTAAGAACCCTGATTTTAGCAGTGCAGCTAAAACAACATTTTAGATATTGAGATGTTTCCCAGGATAAGTGACAACAGCAACAGTACATGTGAACGGGAAACCCTGATGGGCAGAATGTGTTCAGAGCCAATTACCTCTGGAGTGAAGGTCCACCAGGAAAAGTCTCCAGATCTGCCCCACCTTCAGATCTCTGCAACACACACACAACTCCATGTCACCTGGAAAACATTCCCCAGATATAAAAACAGATATAAAAACTAAAGAAAAATACTCTTCCATATTGGGTGGTGTTTTATGATTGGTGTCTGAAAACTGTAGCGGATGAATTGAGGAAATAAGCTGCTCTATGTTCTGATGGTGGCAGCCTGGTGAGCTGGTATCAATGAGGTTCTGAGCAGTTGGTGGTTTTAATCAAGCGCTGCAGAACCCAGTATGGGTCTGCATCCACAATTATTCAGTCAAATGGGGCTCAGACTGGGTCCTGTTCTACACCCACAGGTCTGTTTATTGGTTAATGGACTACATTTATAAGGAGATTATCTCTCAGTAGCTTGGTCAGAGCACTGATGCCCTCGATTTTTTATTTTAAATCTAGACTGCAACAAAATATAACAGGCTCCTCACAGTTTTTCCTGACTCCTGACTGTTTTTCCTGGCCGTCCTTGAACACAACATGGGCGGAACATGGCAGTCTAAATAGATGAATGGATCACAAATGTTGTTAGGTGACATAGTTAACCAAGAAATGATGAGAATATGAGTCAAGTCATGTCAAAAAACTTTAGATCAAACGAAACTGTCTGAGATTTATAAAAAAAATATATATATATATATATATATATTTAGATGAAGAAAGTTGCATGTGGTCCATTTTGTTGTTCAGATGTATTAGCACTTATCTTTAACTAGATGATAAATAATTTGGGAAACAAACAGAATAAACTCAGGAGTGATTCCCCTGAGTTTAATGTGTTATCTGTCTTCACTTTAGCAGAGGTTATAAGTTCAACAATTAGAATGGCCCTTGAAGGATGTTGTAAAAATGTAAATAGCCCTTGATAGGAAAAAGGTTCCTGACCCCTGTTCTAATGATTCTAAAGCACAAAGTGCAGTTGCAGTTATCTTAATTAGGCTCGATGCAACAAAACTGCAAAGCTAAATCTAAACAAGTTGCTTGTGTCACCATGACAGCAAGTGGACATTGAAGCGGTTTCAATCTGCAAACGAGAGGAAAAGCAGAAAACCTGGATGTATAATACTATTTCTCTGGGCAAAGAAGATGGGTTACAAAGGAATAAGATAAGGCTACTAACATTGCACTTTGTCAGACACAAACTTCTGTTCTGACCGCTTTTATTCCTAACTTGTTAGCAATCAGCTGTTAAATAGGTGCTTAGTTTGATTCTCTGAAGAACATTTCCAGAGAGCACGGATTGATGTACCTCCTCTGTAAAAGTTAACATGAACTTGGCGGGTGAATTTGGCCTTCTTAAGTCTCCTCCTATAGACGTCTCAGGTATTTTTCTCTCCACGAGTTAGCTTTGTTCCTCACAGCACAGCTGAATGTTGACAGGAGAGCCCTGGGGGGGGACTTTTGTAAGGAATAGATGAGGTAAACCCTATTTAGCATCACACAGTGTTTCCCCTATATACAAATATGCGCGCCGCTGCTAGGGGGCGCCAGCCAGGTACCCAAAAATAAATAACAAATAAACTTTTTTTTAAAAATTCAAATAATAATAAGTTGCGACCCTTTTTCATTTTTGATTGTTTGTTATGTGAATTTGTAGTATTTGTGTTACTGTATGTTCAATAAAGGTGTATTTTTGCTAAATCTTGAGACATTGCCACTGTATGTACTAGACAGGGCCGATTTTTGGCATAGGAGACATAGGCGGTCGCCTAGGGCGCCAGATCTGGGGGGCGCTGCGCTGGTAGCTCTGGGAGGGGAAAAAACATTTTTGACCGTTGGCGCTCATCCTAATTTTTGGCCTTGATGTAACAACATTCATAATTAAGTAAATGAAACACCCTTTTCACCCCGGTTACACTTTTCATTTGCCCTGTACGATGGGCAATCACGAGTGATGAAAGTGGGAGCGAGAGAGAGAGAGGGCGCACCGGTACCAGCGCTGTTGTTATTAGAATCTGGTGCTAGCTGCGCTAACGGATATAAGAAGTAGATATTTCTACAACCAGGGTGGAGGAGAGCTCTCCTGTCAGACTGAGAGGCTCAGTGAGGTAAAGGACTCTCTGAGGGTTTAGATAGTTCATTTTAGTCTAAGTTATCTCAGTGGGTCTCAAAGGTTTTGACCACAAATTATGTAAACAAATATTTCCAAGGCACTCCTTTATAATTATTAGGATAAATAAAAACAGGTTTGAAATCATTCCAATGTATACTATAGGACAGTAAACCAAAAATATTGTTTAAAGTTGGAGAGATACAAAAATATGTATGAATAAATAAATGTTAACTAGGTAAAATAAGATATGAATGAACAACAAAAATAAAAAAGTTACATTTATTTGTTATTGGCTATGGTAGGTTATTGGTTATGTTCATATACTTATTTGATTATTAAAATGTAAACCGATCTTTTTCATATGGGTGTTTTAGAGTTGTACCCCCTAGATCAGGTCTCTAGTAATTGTGTGCTCAAAGTGCACCAGATTGAAGCATTTTACTTTAAAAAATGACCCCCGGACCCCCCTAGAGGATGTGACGTCCACCCCCCAATTCAAACATGTTCATACAATACTGAATACATTTGAAGCCATTTTGACGTATATTACCTATGTCAATACGTTTCTGTTTTTGTAGTGTCTTTGTCTTTTGTAGAGATTTTTCATTTATTCTTTATATATAAAATCTCGCCTAGGGCAGCAAATTGGCTAGAACCGGCCCTGGTACTAGGCCTCAAGAGCCTTTCTTGTGCTGGCTGACACATAGAAACAAATTGGCGGGGTGCACTTCGCACGTGCACACACTAAAACATTTCACGCGCTCCGCGCTCACATTATGCTGGGCCCACGTGCCTTAGCACCGCTGCTATGACTCCATCCTAGGGGAAACACTGTCACAAGCTATATTATTTCACATGAGCATTGGAAGCACGCTGTGATGTTACCTGCTTCAGTGGAGCCTCCTCTGTGTGCAGCCTGTCAGCAGGTGTTGCAGCAGCTGGAGCCTGTGGTTGTCTCTGAAGCTCCGCCTCCACCGCCTGCAGTCTGAACAGCATCTGTTTCAGAGCCTCCACTGGACCTGGCTGCTTAAACACGCCGGTTCCATGGAGTCCGGAGCACGGCCCCTGGGGAGGCATCAGACATGAGTGGGGCACTTGGGGATATGTCAGAGGGTCATTTGAGCCTCACTTTAACTGCATGGTTTGGCTTCACTTTTGATTTAGCTCTGTTCTCTGTGCTGCTGGACGACTTTCCTGGACTATTGATGAAAGGTCTTCTTTGTTATTTATTGAGCTTTAAAACAAATGAATAACGACTCTATATAATAATATAAGAATAATACACGGAGGACGGAGCCTCTCTTTTCCTCCCCCTCTCCTGACAGCCCGTAAGTATCCGTGGTCTCATGCAGCAGCTGATCCAGTGATGAGTGACCCGACAGTAAAAATAAACATATTTATAACTAGTTTAGGTAGTTTGAGAGGTCATTAAAATAGCTAAGGGTGATGATCTAACTTGAAGTGTGTGTTTTGTTCCGCTCATCGCTCCATCACAGCGGGCGGAGCTGCAGGTTGTCATGCAGAGCTGCAGGTTATCATGCAGAGCTGCGTGTCTCCTCTCCTGTCCGATTAGACTTCACTCGTGTTTATGTCCATATCGATCAAATCTAGCTGGAAGCTCCTGCTGGGTGCACTGTCCTGCGAGATACCGGGACCTGGCTCGAAACACTGGGGCTATTGCATCATCGTTATCAGGAAATGATCGTTATAGGGCACAGAACCGTTTGGCCCCCCAGAGCATTTCGTCCGCAGATCTACCCACCGTTATCGTTATCTGCGTTTCCCTGTCGGCCTCGTGTGGCCGAACCGTCTATATGATAGAGAACTGTAGCGGATACGACCGTTATCGTCCTCGTGTGGCTGCAGCCTAATCTGACGGGAGAGAGATCAGCTGCTGCTGACGAGTCGACACGCAGCTCTGTATGATCACCTGCAGCGGTTAGCGGAGCGAAACACACACTTCAGGTTAGAATATCACACGTAGCTATTTTAATGACCTCTCAAACTACCTAAACTAGTTATAGATATGTTTATTTTTACTGTCGGGTCACTCATTACTGGATCTGCGAGCTGCATGATACTGACGGGCTGTCCGTTTATTATTCCCGTGTTATTATATGTTACTGTACACTTTTGAATAATGTAGTTAATCTACTATAATTAGTTTGTTTAATATCGAATCATATCAATTTGTTTTAAAGCTCAATAAATAACAAAGACCACCTTTGACTGGCACATTTTGTCTGGAAGATTTCAACTTTAACGGACATGTTCACCGGCAAAAAAAAGGTATAACGGAAACTCTGAAGTGGTGGTGTAGAGACAAATTGAATTAAGTTTTGGGGAGGCTAGGTTTGGTTCTTCCTTGTGACTCGCTCCCAATGAGCAGTCCTTACTGAAGGTTGTGTTCCATACAACTTAATAAAGATAAACAAGCATTTACAGCAAGACTACAAAAGGTATCGGAACCAAATCACCCTCTTTGTTCAACCCTCTCAAGCCCGGCACACCACAGGTGGACTAAATACCTTGATGTGAAAATTGCAGGAAGAGACTCATTACAATGGTGTGTGGTGTACACAAGTAATGATACAAATATAAATAATCCACAATGGCTAAACAAGCATGTTGGCTCTCACAAGTGGCATTAAGGCCTATTCCAGCAAAGGGACAACAACATATTGGGACAACAACATGTATTTGGACGCTGCTCAGGATTAGAGTCACAGGTTTGACATCACAGAGAGAGCAGCGGTGTCTGTCTGCATGTGAAGTTAACACCTACCTGAGCCCCTCTGTCAGTCCCAGCCTCTGTGACACCCCCCACTGTCACAGAGTCCCTGCAGGTGACATCACAGAGCACTAAGTAAGTTTGGTTATATGAAATGATCGCAACTAAGATTTTAGGGAGAGTAAATCAGTCCTACCTGATGGGTGGACAACAGTGAGAGGAAGAAAGCAGCTCCTCAGTGTTCGCTGGACTGACAGCTCCATCAGCTCCACCTACTGCTGGAACAACAGATACAATCAGATCAAGGTAGCACTGTGTGGGAAAAATATGTCCATGCAGTGATGCTGTTCTGACAAAGATTTCAGTAGCCCACAGAGAAGTCTTCCTGCTGTTTGACAGTGCTGTGATGTTTGCATTCTTTCATTCACTGTTATTAAGTCAAATGGGAAGTTTTGTATAGGAAATGGCTAGGACTTATCTCTGATAGGATTATCGAGCACTAAGAATACACAAGCAGCTCAAACGGTCAAATCCTTTAGCCATCTCCATGTGGTCTGTCCAGAGCGGTTTGAGGAGTTGCAGTCCGATGAGGAAGCTACGTGAAGAGCAGTGCAACCCCTGACTGTAGAGGTAAATCCTGTTCTGAGCCAGTACACTCTATTCTTCTGATTTAGTTTGCTTGCTAACCTTCCTTGTGCTCTCTTTTTGTATAAAGTATACCATTTACTAAATGTAATAAAAACGCAAAAATAAACATCTGAACAAAGCTTAAATAATAAAGCCACCTGAGGTCAGCTAAAGCTCTGAGGTTTTTACTGGACCTGCAGGATTGTGAGTCAGACAGCTCAGCACCTGATCGGCTTTCTGGATCAGAGACTCCAGCCTGTTGTCTGAGGGAGGGAGAAGCCAAAGAGACAGAACATCAGTGTTGCCGTGTAGAACACATACAGTTGAGGCCTAAATTATTAGCCCCCCAGGAGTTATGGAACATTTTCCTAAAATTCTTCCCAATGTTTCCAGTATTGATAAAACTTGATATAATCAAACATTCACCAGTGCTATTTAGTAGCTTTTGGTACTTTTTGGGAAAATAAAATACGTTTTTAGGCTTGCTTTATATCAAATATAGTGAAAAATGGGTTGGTCAAAAATATTAGCCCCTATGTGAATTTTTGCTTTCAAAACACACCTAATCAATCAATCAGTTTTCAAACACACCTAATCAACCAATCAGCATAAAAGAAACAGGCACTCTGATACCTTATTGAGAGGGACTATACTACTACTACTCACCATGCCAAAGTCAAAGGAAATCAGTCTTGAGCTCAGAAAGAAGATAGTGGAGGCTCATGATAAGGGGGAAGGCTATACTGCTATTTCCAAGCGCTTCACAGTGTCTAGAACTGCTGTACGTTGCATCATTGCGAAGTACAAGGAGACTATTTCTGTAAGAAACAAACCTGGGCGTGGTCGAAAGCGCAAGATTTCAAGAACTCTTGAGAGGAAAATAGTCAGAGATGTCAGCAAGAATCCCCGGACATCTGCCAAGATGATTGTTGCTGACCAGGCCTCTTCTGGAGTTGATGTTTCAAGGAACACAGTTACGATACGATACGATACGATATACTTTATTGTCCCCGTAAGGAAATTTGCTCTGGACTCCGTCCTGCAGTGCATCCATGTACATATACAAACATAGTGGACATTAAGAGACATACACATATCATCAGTCATACACCGTTTGAACAAACACAATACACACACGTACATACTGACAATGGCGACCTATTGCACAACCCTCATGGCCAACATTAAAAAAAGTACATTTCATTACATTTGACTACATATCATTTCATGTGAATGTTAAGAAGCTTAATGGACATAGGTAGGAATGAGTGCTTATAGCGGTTCAGCCTGCTCCTGGGAACCCTGAATCTTCTACCAGAAGGTAGGAGCTGGAATTCTGGGTGGAGTATGTGGGTGGGATCAGACACCATTTGTTTTGCCTGTCTGATAATCGACTGCTCGTATATGTTTTGGAGAGATGGGTGTTTTTTAACCCCCATAATCTTCATAGCAGTCTGTACCAGGCGAGCGATCTGTGACTTTGACTGCACTGTCAAGTTACCATACCAGTAGGGATGGGTACCGAGCCCCGGTATTAAACGGGCCCCGGGGCTGAATTATTACAGACCGTGGTACCGTTAAGCTCCAACGTTATCGGTCTTTTTATCGGTACTGGAGACATCTAAAAAATATGTCATGTGTGTTATTGCTACACAAACATTATATTGCAGTTTTAGCGTCGCCAACTCCGTTTCTAATACGCAAAAAGACTGCAAAATGCGTCATTTTTTGTATTTTCGATCTCTCCAATCCAGACGAGAGATCTCTCTCCCCCGTCTGTGTGCGAGGGGGCGGGGCGGTTTACACACACGCAGCTGCTACATGCAGCAACACACACACACACGGAGGAGATGGCGGAGAGAACGCGTTCCGAGGTGTGGTTAAACTTTACCCGTCTCGCTCGTTGCCTAAAGTGCAATAAGAGTTTAGCATGTCATGGGCGGTAACACGAGCAATTTGTCTAAACATTTAGCAAAAGTGCTCCACATTCAGACGGAGGAATGCACCGGGTTTGACTGTCTTTCTCGTAGCTCTGTTGCCCCATCCACGAGTAACGTTTCCACGTCAGGTGTTATGTATGCCAGCAGCAACACACGGAGCTAACTCAATGATACAAACATGGGTTGATGATTAGAGGTAACTGAGTTATTTAGTTTGTTAAAGTTTCAGCCATTCTGTTCACAGTTCTGTCATCACATTATTTAATACCATTTGTTAAAACGTTGTTGTTTCTTTTGATGTGAAATATTATGTATTTAATTTAAATAAAAAGCAATGTTAGTTTTGTTAACAATTTGTTTATTTTCATTTTTCATTTAATCGTTTATTTGAATAGGGACAATGCACATTAATGAACACTTTAGACAAATAATGCTTCAAGTGTAAATGCCGGATTTTAGCTTTGAGCTAATTTCCATTCGTAGTCCCTGACATACAACATATAGTTCGTTTACCTCATTTTTCTCTCCAAAAGAACCGATAAGAGTACCGTTAAAAGACCGGACCGATAAGCGGTATCGATAAAAGTAGTAGTACCGTTAAAACCTTAACGATACCCATCCCTACATACCAGGCAGTGATACCATACCTCATGATGCTCTCCAACACTGCATGATAGAACAGTAACATGAACTTCTGGTCGACGCAGAAAGTACAACCGCTGCTGAAGTCTAGAGCACAGACCTTGAACATGCGCCTTCCAGCTGAGTGTATTATCTAGATGGACACCAAGATACTTATAGGAGCTGACCTGAGTTATGGGTTCATTGTGGATAACCACCGGCCTAAGGTCACCCACTGCCTTTGGGTCCCACACCATCTCCTCAGTGGTGAGGGCTCTTCATTGTGGTGGGCTTCAGGGCCATCGTCCCAGAAGAACCCCTTTACTCAAAGAGTGGCACATCAGAGCCAGACTGAGGTTTGCCCGTGAACATTTGAAAGGTAAATATGCGTTTTGGAAGTCTGTGCTTTGGTCTGATGAGACTAAACTGGAACTGTTTGGGCACATGGATGTTGCTCATGTTTGGCGAAGAAAGGGAGAGGCCTCCAACCCTAAGAACACATCATGCTGTGGGGCTGTTTTGCAGCCTCAGGCACAGGGAGCCTTGTTCGGGTGCAAGGCATCATGAACAATAAAAATGATGTTGACATTTTGAGGGATAATATGAAAAAATCTGCTCTTGGTCTTCGCTTAGGTCGTCGCTGGGTCTTCCAACAAGACAATGACCCAAAGCACACATCAAACTGGGTCCAACAGTTCCTAAAGGACACCAAAACCAAGGAGCTGGAGTGGCCCGCACATAGCCCAGATCTGAATCCTATTGAGAATCTGTCGGGTGCTCAAAGTGAATGTCCATGCTCGGAAACCACGCAATTTGGACCAGCTGGAACAATCTGCAATGGAAGAATGGGCCAAAATCCCTCAAGAGACCTGTGCCAACCTAGTAAATAACTACTCTAATGGCTCGTTTCCACTACAGCGCGGAGCACGGTTTAAGAGGGCTGTGACGTCAGCGGCCCGTCTTTGGTTGCGTTTCCACTTGGCCTAGTACCGGCCGGCGGGTCCTAATTCACAGTTTTTCTGGCCTCATAAAATCGCGGGTCTAGGGCCAGAGACAACGAGGCTGAGTCGGGCTGAGTATGCTAAACTAGAGAGAGAATCGCTGGCAAGGGGGCTACAACTACAACAAGATGGACATATTTGACCGTGATTTAATTGTAATACACGTTTCAAAATGATGCCGAAGTAACAACATACTGATACCGGTTAGTAAAAACCATGAATTAATGCTTTGACAAGTCTGCAGACAGACGGCAGGCGAAAAACCTTTTAAAATGCGTGTTTTCTAAATGGAGATTGGCTAAGCTAACGCAGTATATGCTCCGACCGTCCACACTCACAACAACGGCCTATACAGACATAAATAAAGCAGCGACTGTATTCACCATGACACAGGCAGTCTGTGGTTTGTACTTGTTTAACTTCTGTCTGGTTTCTGAACATATATGAGGAGCTGTGAGCTCTGAGTGCTAACAGCTAACGGCTGTGTTGTTTTTCTGGGGTTTCTCTGAAGATCACGTCACGGCTCCGCCTACACTGCGTTACTATAGATACTACCCCAGTTCCTAAACTGTAATGGAAATGCGCCATAAAGTGAGCCAGTCCTAACGAGGCCCAGCCATACCGAGCGGGGCTGAGCGAGGCCGTGTAGTGGAAACGCGCCATAAGAGGTTGTTGTCAGTTGTGGCTCAGAAAGGGTACACTATTGACTATTAAGGGCCTGGGGGCTAATATTTTTGACCAACCCATTTTTCACTATATTTGATATAAAGCAAGCCTAAAAACTTATTTTATGTACCAAAAGCTACTAAATAGCACTGGTGAATGTTTGATTATATCAAGTTTTATCAATGCTGGAAACATTGGGAAGAATATTAGGAAAATGTTCCATAACTCCTGGGGGACTTATAATTGTGGCCTCAACTGTATGTAGTCTTCTGTCAGTCGTTTGTCTTTTACCTCTGAACATAGTTTCCACAATGCCCGATCTGTTGTTCTCTGCAGCGAGTAGAGAGATGTGTTCAGCTAACTGAAGCCTCAGATCTCTCAGAGTCTGCCGACTGTCAACCTGCACACACACAAGCTGCTGACTTTATACATTGTTATTTTTAATGATATGTTCCAAAAGAGTTGTCTTGCCTGTGAAAGGGTCTGATCCTCATGGTCCAGCTCTGCTACCCAGGAAGGAGCGCCACCTCTGGGATCTACAGGTTACACACACACACATGTTCTAAAATAGTTTGGGCCTCTGTCAGTCACGGTCCCTTAGAATCGTCCTAACTTTTCACCCCCTTACGGCGCACCTGCACACACACGTTATGTTTCAGCAAATGGATGGGTGCATACAAGCACACAAGGGCCATAGATACTACAGATTTTTGAACTTTAATTAAAAAAAGAATATGTTGGTTTTCTATTCTATTCGGTGCATCCATATTTTTTATCAAAGTTCAAGGGGGCGTACCTTGCTCATCCCACAAATCTGACTCTGAGGGTGGGGGCCGCTCGCTGACATCACAGCGCTGGATCCAGGCTGGGTACTTCTGGTCCGGCACACTGCTGATCCCAGAACAGTCCATGTCGGTCTTGTTGGAGGTAAACCAGCGGGGGAGGTGCAGACACACAGAGGGGTCTGCTCTCTGTGCACACTGCTGAGACACAAAGAGGAAACCATGACAACACTACAGTCCTGTTAAGAGGCAGAGCCCAGAACACACATTGCAATGTGATGATAGTCACCCTGTGGGGGGAGACCATGTCAACGTCTGGATTCATCATGACTGCCCCCGGTCTGCCTCTGCACCTGGAGAGAAGGACAAATAAATTAAAAAGTAAAATGTGATTGTAACATTGATTTATGTTATTTAGTAATTAAACATTTGTTTTCTAGCTTATTGTAATTATTTTAGCTAGTTAAGGTATATTCATAATGCTTTTATTTTGAAGCCAGTTTTGGGACACTGGACTTGTTAAAGATGATAGAAAGGCAATGGTAACTCAAATAACAACCGTGTAGTGGCTTTTAACTTTATCCATACTTAAGCTACTGAGGGATGGGAACGGGAGAACTAAGTTCGGACGCGTGTTCCAGATGACAAAACAATGTCCATACGAGTGTATATCTTTCAATCCATCGATCCTTTTATTTTGTTGTCCATATAGCCTTTGTTACCATTCAGATACCAATATATGCACGCCAGTCACGCTGAATACAAACAGGTTTAACACACACAGCTCATATTGACACAGCTTCTGCCGACACGGTCGAAAACTGTTTGCTTCTGTTCCAAAACACCTGCACCTGATCACCTAGTGATTACATTTATACACACACACAAGTGAATACTCCATCTTGTGTAGAAAGTTGGAACGGTTACAACCAAGGTATGCAGAAGACCATCTCTGAACACAACACAGGGAACCTTGAAGCAGACGGGCTACAGCAGCAGAAGACCCCACAGGGTGCCCCTCCTGTCGGATAAGAACAGGAAACTGAGGCTCCTATTCGCACTGGCTCACCAAAACTGGACAACAGAAAATTGTAAAAATGTTGCCTGATCTGAAGAGTCTCAATTTCTGCTGCGGCATTCGGACAATGGGTTCAGAAGTTGTGGTAAACCACATGAAAGCATGGATCCATCCTGCCTTGTATCAACGGTTCAGGCTGGGGGTGGTGGTGTAATGGTGTGGGGGATATTTTCTTGCCGTACTTTGGACCCCTTGTTACCATTTGAGCATCGTTTAAACACCAAAGCCTACCTGAGTATTGTTGCTGACCATGTCCATCCCTTTATGGCCACAGTGTATCCATCTTCTGATGCTACTACCAGCAGGAAAACGCGCCGTGTTTCAAAGCTCAAATCATCTCAAACTGGTTTCTTGAACATGACGATGAGTTCACTGCACTCAATTGGCCTCCACAGTCACCAGATCTAAATCCTATAGAGCACCTTTGGGATGTGGTGGACCGAGAGGTTCACATCATGGATGTGCAGCCGACAAATCTGCAGCAACGATGTTATCGTGTCAATATGGACCAAAATCTCTGAGGGATGTTTCCAGCACCTTGTTGAGTCTATGCCCTGAAGATTTAAAGCCGTTCTGAAGGCAGAAGGGGGTCCAACCGGGTACTAGCCAGGTGTACCAAATAAAGTGGACGGTGAGTGTATATTGGAGACAGGTGGAGGTTGGATTAGCACACCAGCACCAGCATTTTTTTTTCTTACAATGGAGAGCAAAGGTCAAAGGAGAAGTCATTGTTCTGTTGGATTTTGGATTGTTGGAACCAAGGATAAATAAACTGCACCAAAGATATTCTTGCTTGGAAAATTATTATAAGTTATAATAAAAGTTATTTGAATATAATACCTAACGGAAAAAACCTCCTCCACCTGTCTCTGGATTGATGTGTGTTCACCCATGCACCAGTAAAAGCCCCAAATCTTGTGGTGAGGAATAAGAGACTGACTACATTTAATTCATAATTCATAACGGGAGGCAGTGATGCTGAGCTGTAGGTAGTACATTGAATTTGTTGAAATCATGTGAGGCTTAGTAAAACACAAAGCACTGTTTTGTAAACCAATCAAACATTTCCTGAAGAAAAAAGGCACCAAAAGAAGCCATCAGAACATAAACAACTCAAAGTGAAAGCCACCAGCTATACATGGGCTGCTGGTGTAGCTCGTAGCAAAAACACATTATACCACCCAACACTGTGGAGAATTGCAGTCCTTTTTGGTCAATTTTTGTAATTTGTAATTTGTTTTTGGGGAAAGTGGGCCTTAAAAAAGGTTGAGAACCCCTGACCTCCTAATAGGAGAGAACGGAGATCTTTTAGAAAAAATCATAGTGAGACAGATAAGTGGCAGGAGCACTGACCTGGAGCTTCTGGTTGGATGGGGGTGGTGGGACTTCATTTGGGGGGCAGGGTGGCTGCTGCTGAGTCTGTCCCGGTTCCTGTGTGCTGCTCTGGGCTGGGGGGCTCCGCACTGTGACAGGAGACCTGGATCAGCAGAGGAGACAAAATGTTAGTTATTGATTTATCCATCGATTATTAGTTCCATCAACCCATTTATCCTGTAACCACTAGGGGTGTAACGGTTCACAGAATTCACGGTTCGGTACGTACTGCGGTTTGCGGGTCACGATTCGGTACGGGTTCGGCACAACAAGAAAAAGCAAAAAAAAAAGTCCCAAATGCATAATTCTAATAATTATGCATTTGTAATGATAATTTGTTGTTATTTATTTTTTAACAGTAGTGCAAGTTTCAGTATAAAAATAAGGAACTCTAACATTTTGAATAATTAACTGTAATACACAGTTAAAAACAAACCACAAACAGTACCACACACACGAAGATGGCCATATTATATATAATGGCTGATGTCAAACAAAAAGGTTTCATCAAGCTGTAAAACTAAAAAGAATGTCTTGAAAATATTACAAAATAAATAAGAAAGTGTTTCAAGGGCGCATAGCCGTTGAAATATATATGCCAATAGCTTCCGTTATTTATTTTGGTCTCTCGGCTTTCATGTCTATTGGCTTCTTAAAAACAGCGGGGATAAGCTGTTGAACTGCTGTTGTCTTTTGCCGGGCTCCGGTGATTAGGCGCTTTCACACCGGAGTACTTTTCCCTTTTAGTTCCGATAGTTCCTGGGATTTTGCGTTCACACCAAAAAGAGAACTTAGTTCATGAGAACTGTTCCCCCCTTTTCAGTCCCTGCTAGAGAGCAGGTACTTTCCTGGGGAGAAAAAAGTTCCAATTTCTGATTGGCTGGGCGAATTGCAAACCACGCCCCGTTAAACTCTGAAATGTGTTGTGAAGCCGCCATTGTATTTGCTGGCATTAGCATTATTAGCATTAGCATAGCGCACCAACGGAGAGAGACTAACTTATGGCAACAAAACAAAAAAAAACATGGGAGCGGTGGAGTGATGAGGAGGTGTCGGCGTTCTGGCGATTTACTCAGAAGGCTTCAGTAGAAGCTGCTGGGATTCCCAGCAGCTTCTGTTGACGCCAGTCCCCAACTACGGGGACTTCCGGCCGGGGACTTCGGGTGGCAGTATACGCCGTGAAGTTGTTTGCGGCCTGCCAGTAAACCCAAAGCAGAAGAAGAAGAAGTGACGTCAGCGGCTCCATTTGAGTAATCTTCCCTCAGGGACTTATTCCGGTGTGAACGCGAAATGCTCTTTAGTTCCATGGGGGAACTAAGTGCTGGGAACTAAGTACGGCAAAGTACTTGGTGTGAAAGCGGCTATTGGCAAATCTGGGTGATGCCTTCTGATATGATTTAGCATGTTTGGCGTGTGTTACCATTAGCATACCGCACCGCTGTCGAACAACACCAACACACCGTCCTCGTCTGATCCACCACTCGCACTCCATCGTTATTGTAGTCCACAGGGAACAGAAAATGTTCCCACACAGCTGATTTAAACGAAGCAGGTGGGTCTTCTAGCTCCTGTGTGTTATCTGAAATCGCCATACTAACTTCTCTTCTTGTATTTTGTTCGTTTTGTTGTGTTTTCTTCTTCTTCTTCATTTGTTGTTCAAGGGCGGCTGGCAAACAGCTTTTAGGCGCAATACCACCCCCTGGATTATATATAGTGTAATGGATACTGCCCTCAGTAACAGACTTTTTTCCCACTCACTGCATGTGCCGAACCGTGACGTCCGAACCGTGACGGTTTGGGACAAATATGGATACCGTTACACCCCTAGTCACCACACAATTTCTGAAACACAGGCAAATGCCATCATCCCAACATGATGCATTCAGAAACATAAGATGGAGGAGGAGGAAGGAGTGATGCATTAAATGACCTCAGATGAAGTCAGAGGTGAGGGGAAAGCTTTGATTCTCAGAGGAAGTCAGGGGGAGTTTGAGTGATGCGTTTAATGACCTTGGAGGAAGGCGGAGGTGTGCGTGACAGGCATCGAGCCGTCATAAGGAATAGATAGCAGCTCGTCTGTAGTCATAGAGAGTCTATCTCTGTTGCCACGGTGATGGAGGGAGCTAACGGGGAGGTTCAGGAAGTCCAGCTCTCTGTCGGTCAAATGTTCCCTGAGAACTATGACGGAGAAACAAAAGAAGACAATCACATAAAGATAAACTATCATAAAACAAGCGTATTAACTTAAAGAATGTGGTGACCCACCATCTGTGTTTCTGAGCGTGCTCGCTCTGGGTCCCCTCGGCGTGGAGGGCAGACTGTGAGGCAGAACCAGCCCCCCCGTAACAAACTGGCTGCTCCGACTCCGCTCAAAGTCTGAGATGTAGGCGTCCAACGCCGCAGAGGCCGAGGTGTAGTTCTGCAATCCATATATCCATGATTCAATCATTAAGCATGAGAGATTAATTTTTAGTAAGCACAGCCCCATAAACATCTTCTGGGCAAACAGCTTGTCTTTTTGTATTTTTCCTAAGAACAGAAAGAATGCTGGAGTTATTTTACCGGAAGCAGCTGTAAGACTTTTTAATTTGAACCACTCATAATAACCTTCTCTGATCTTTAGAATGATCTTTAACTAAAACTCAGAGCATAACTTCGACCGACACGTTCTGATTGAGCTCTGAGAACCTCAGTGCCATGCTGGTGTACAGAAAAATACCTCATAGTCAGGTCTGGTATAAATGGCTGCCCACTTTGGCTCGGTTATGATAACAAGACAGGAAATAAAGACAGGCAGATATCCTTCACTGTAGACAGCTGACCCCAGTAGAAGCAGACCTTATCTCTGTATCTGAAGGTGGAGTTGTGTTCAGGAGCCAGCAGGCTGCTCCTCAGGTGACTGGAGCTGGACAGCAGGGACGTCACCGTGGATTCAGGAGAGAGGAGGTGACCGGACTCCATGCTGAGGAAACACAAGAACATGGGTTTGTTTGACATCTAAGTCCATGGGTGACTGTTTATATACTTTTTTCCACAAGCAGTGTTTAGAGATAAAACAGATACACCTAACCAATATGCAGGTAAATTGGTAAAGATCTTTCCATTTGCTGTGTATTAGGTTTTGTGGCCTATCTATAGGTCTTCAGGGCACACCTTTTGCATTTCTACTCTAAGTAGCCAAGAATAAAAATACATGAAACAAATAAATATATTAATATTAATAAAATGGATGTTGTGTTTCTCGTTATTGAAGAAAATTGTTAAGCCAATAATATGGGCATAGATATGTCTCATAATTATTTGTGTGAACATAAAAATTATTTGTGTGTAAATATGTGATTTGGAAATGTAAAACACAATCCACAAATGCATTTAAAAGATTTGCAAACTCACAAATAAATTTGCAAATGTAAAACGGATCTGCAAATACGCTAAATATGTTCACAAATTAAAAAAAGATCTGTGAATATCTCTTTAACATTTACAACTTTCGATCAGGCATTTGTGAATCCATTTTGTATTTGTCGACCAAAAATGCGCTTGTGGATCTCAACTCTCTGCTCGTGGATCTCAAATTTCTGCTTGTGGATCGTCTTTTTACACACACGGAATTTTGAGACAAACTTTCCTCTGGTCTCAGCTCAAATCTACTCGTGTAACTCGGTTATTTTCGGAAACCACGTGATGGCCTGCTGATGACGACATTTCCGCATGATTTCAAAGTAAGAGCATGATGGCTTGTTTAATGCTCTGTTTTTTTATTATAATGAACAGCGAAACGTTAGATGCATTCTTTATCACCATCATCATCATCATGTTATGGTGATACAGTTAGTTTGTGTTAGTTTATTGGTTCAATACAGCATATATCGAGCACTTTCGTAGGCATTGATGTTGAACTACAGGCTACGCCACTTCGGGTCCCGGGGGAGCAGCTGGCAGCGAAGCAGCCCAGAGATAATTATTTCCTCATTGTTTTTTGTGTATTCAGTCAAAGTTACAAAGCACTTCACATTTTATTAATCGGCCTAATTTTACCTTACCAGTGCAGTAATAAAGTAATCTGTAGAAAAGCACCGTATTTAGGTCAGCCTTCATAGTAAGGCTACATTAAATGTTATAATATTCATCGTGTCCTTTCTACTGTATATGCATATATTCCTGTCTATTGCTTTCATTTGTGTTTCATGTTATTATGTTTATACTTGTTTCCACACATTTCACAATTTGGGATGAATGAAGTATCTATCTATGATATCTATCTATCTATCTGTCTATCCATCTATGATATCCATCTGTCTGTCTGTCTATATCTATCTATCTGTCTATCATATCTGTCTATCATATCCATCTATTTATCTGTCTGTCTGTCTGTATCTGTCTATCTATCTATGATATCCATCTGTCTGTCTGTCTGTCTATATCTATCCATCTATGATATCTGTCTGTGTGTCTGTCTGTCTGTCTGTATCTATCTATATATATCTATATCTATCTATCTGCACCTGCAGAGTACAGGACTTTATACATTGTACATATTATATCAATCCTATAATATTTGTTTCTAACATATAATTTGAAAGTGCTTAAAACAAATGTGGGATATTCATTTGATAAAAGTAATTGACAAAGAAATTCACGATTGTCATATTTTATTATGTAGGATACAGAACTGGACTGTAGTCAAGTAAACTTACTTACACATTCTAAATACGTGTTCTTTGCGTCAGTGTTTCGATGTTATATTTTATAACCATATAAATTATTCAAACAATTAAAATACATGCCCTACCGTTGATTGTGCACACTTTTGCCTGAAATGAATCTGCCACTGCCAGGCCCACGCACAGTCAATATAAATATAAGTAATTATATTCTTTCATCTGATTTAACCAAATGCTGATAGGTTATAGCTACTGAGTGTTCTAGTTTTACTCATGCAATAATGCATAACACAAAAACACTGCAGCCAGTAGATGGCGGTAGTACCCTCGGGGCTTAGAACGCTGCGTCGTTTTCATACAGTGATCGATTTGGGTCACTGAAATAATAAGTAAAGTAAGTTTACTTGACTACAGTCCAGTCCTGTATCCTACATAATAAAATATCACAATCATGAATGTCTTTCTTTTTATGAAATCAGTATCCCACATTTGTTTTAAACACTTGCAAATGATATATGCTAGAAACCAATATTATAGGATTGATATAATATTTACAATGTAAAGTCCTGTACTCTGCAGGTGCTGGTAAAGAGCAATACAATGACAACCTTTCCAAACAAAACAACTGGTAGGTAGGCAGGCAGATAGGTAGGTACACAGACAGACAGACAGACAGATAGATGGATAGATAGATAGATATAGACAGACAGACAGACAGACAGTAGAAAGGACACGATGAATATTATAACATTTAATGTAGCCTTACTATGAAGGCTGACCTAAATACGGTGCTTTTCTACAGATTACTTTATTACTGCACTGGTAAGGTAAAATTAGGCCGATTAATAAAATGTGAAGTGCTTTGTAACTTTGACTGAATACACAAAAAACAATGAAGAAAGAGTTTCCTCTGGGCTGCTTCGCTTCCAGCTGCTCCCCCGGGACCCGAAGTGGCGTAGCCTGTACTTCAACATCAATGCCTACGAAAGTGCTCGATATATGCTGTATTGAACCAATAAACTAACACAAACTAACTGTATCACCATAACATGATGATGATGATGGTGATAAAGAATGCATCTAACGTTTCGCTGTTCATTATAATAAAAAAACAGAGCATTAAACAAGCCATCATGCTCTTACTTTGAAATCATGCGGAAATGTCGTCATCAGCAGGCCATCACGTGGTTTCCGAAAATAACCGAGTTACACGAGTAGATTTGAGCTGAGACCAGAGGAAAGTTTGTCTCAAAATTCCGTGTGTGTAAAAAGACGATCCACAAGCAGAAATTTGAGATCCACGAGCAGAGAGTTGAGATCCACAAGCGCATTTTTGGTCGACAAATACAAAATGGATTCACAAATGCCTGATCGAAAGTTGTAAATGTTAAAGAGATATTCACAGATCTTTTTTTAATTTGTGAACATATTTAGCGTATTTGCAGATCCGTTTTACATTTGCAAATTTATTTGTGAGTTTGCAAATCTTTTAAATGCATTTGTGGATTGTGTTTTACATTTCCAAATCACATATTTACACACAAATAATTGTTATGTTCACACAAATAATTATGAGACATATCTATGCCCATACAATAACATCAAAATATACTTTTAGTATCAAAAGTCAAAGTAATGGTATGCATTCATAACTCCAATGTTGGACTTGGTAAAGGGGGGGTTATTAGAATCATTTTATACACACACTGGCTGGCTTAACCTATAATTAAATATGTTGTATTGTAATCTAAATCTGCAAAGTAACTAGTCACTACATCCTCCAAAATGAGTATAAGTAGCAACATGTGAAAATACTCAAGTAAAGCACAAGTAACTCAATTTGTTTACTGCAGTACTTGAGTAAATGTACTTAGTTACATTCCATCACTGTTCATGTGGGTGTTACAGCTGTATTCAGACACACAGTGGAACTAGCTAACCTGGAGCCCGAGGAGACGGGCTGCTGTGGGGCTGTTAGCTGTGGCTTCAGTGTTACAAACTGACAGACGTTAGTTTGCTAACGTGGCCCTTAACCTTGCTAACAGCTAACGTTAGTTGGCAAAGAACAAACAGAAATCAAAGCAAATAATACCGGACAGATCTAACGGTAAACGTTCAACACATTTTTTACGCAACGGTAAGTTGGTAAGTTTAGGCTATATAGCAGTTATAAGACCTCCACAACTGTCCTGCACCGACTAACATGTCACTTTAGACACATCTCCGAGTAAGTAAGCTCACTGAATTCTTAACGACGAAATGACCGCGCTTACATTTACTCCAGTGTTTCCTGTTCAGTAAAGGTCCATACCATCCCTCAGTGATCTCTGTTCTCCACACTCACGGCTCGCGGGTCGGGCTGTTAGCTCTGGAATGTTCTTTCTTCCTCTGACAGCCTGAAGGCCGGGGCATACCGCCGCCTGCTGCACAGGAGGGTGGACACAGGGTCCGTGACTCCGTGTACGTTTTGTTAGTTAGATTTTTCGTTTTAACCAACAAACGAAAATACCAGCCTGTTTTCGTTTTAAATCAAAAACGAAATTGAATTTCATTCAATTGTCCGTTTTGTATTAAAGAATGAAGAAAAGCAGTCCGGTGGACCGGAAGTTAAAGAACATCTTTCAAAATAAAAGACAGGAGGATATAATAGGCTTGTTTGAGACGAGCTGCGGCTCGCCTCGAAAGTAGACGAGAATAGCCGATCGCAGCCGGGGGAGGTCTCAAAAAACTCGCCTGAAGTCGGACAGCTCGGAGTCGGCTTCTTCTTCTTCTTCTTCTTCTTCTTCTTCTTCTTCTCTCAGTTTTTTGGCGGATTTCAAACAACTTTAAGGTGCATACCGCCACCTCCTGAGTCGGCTTGACTCGGTTTGCATTTATAAATGAACACGGCATCTATTGCACGTCTGTCCGTCCTGGGAGAGGGATCCCTCCTCTGTTGCTCTCCCTGAGGTTTCTCCCATTTCCCCTTTAAACTGTGGGTTTTTCTCTGGAAGTTTTTGCTTGTATGATGTGAAACGTAAGGACAGAGGGTGTCGTATTGTCATACTGATATTCTGTACAAACTGTGAAGTCCACTGAGACAAATGTAACATTTGTGATATTGGGCTATATAAATAAACATTGATTGATTGATTGATAAAGAATGGACAAATGTGTTTAATCGTTAATGTCAGATATGTACTAAGTAAATACATTTGTTCCTGCTCAAGATTAGATTCAACTTTATTGTTATTGCACAGATTACAGGTACTGAGACAACGAAATGCAGTTTAGCTTCTAACCAGGAGTGCATAAAGCAGTAAAGTGAAAAGTAATGTACACAATCTACAGAATAAAATATAGAATGAATTGAATGATGAATAAACAGTGAGGGGTATGAATACACTATACACAGTAGCCTAGCCTAGTATTAACAGTGTGTTGTATGAATATGCTAAGATATATAAAGTATGACAACGGTAAGCAGTGCAAGTATAGTATACAAATATATAGATATTAATTTAATGATGATAAACATTGTGGAACAATGATGAAAAATGTGAATGGAAGTGGCGACGTAAAACTGACACAAAACAACAACACACTTTTGCCGAGCCAATGGAGAGTTTCATCACCAGCACGGGGTAAAACCCACCAATGAGCGCTCAGCTCGAGATACCAGCAAGTCGTTTCCCATCAAGCATTTCGCTTCCGCAACCCGTGGACAGAAACTGCGCCGCCTCGCCGCGCCTCGCTCTCAAGTCTGCGGGCGTCTTTGTCCCGCGAGATTTCAACGTCTCATGTAGGCGAGCCTCCAGAGCAAGTCGGACAAAATTACTAACCATCATGCAACGCACTAGCAAGACGTTGATCGCAATTGCGCAGGTCTGCGCAGGTCTCGCTTGTCTCAAACAAGCCTAGTGGCTGTCACTACCATGGATGTATAATAAGAACTGGATACAGCGTGGGAGGCGGGGCCTCATTCATTCCTATGAGAGTTGCTCATTCGCGCATGATGATAAAATGGCCCAACTTTTGAGAGAGCGAAACGTCACAGATTACCCGGCATGCCTGAGAAGTACCCGTATGTACATATATATACATATATGTATATATGTATATATATTGATATATATGTATGTATATGTATATATACATACATATACATATATATACGGTGCAATAATTCTTTCATGCTAAATGAAATTTTATATTGACCTCCAGAACCACCGGCCGATCTCCAACCTTCCCTTCCTAAGCAAAACTCTGGAAAGAGTGGTCGCCGGCCAACTCCATCTGTACGTGTCCAACCATGAGCTCTTCCAATCCGGCTTCAGACAGCAACACAGCACTGAGACTGCCCTCATCAAGATCACCAACGATCTCCTCATTGCTGCTGACTCTGGCCGCCTCAGCATCCTCATCCTCCTGGACCTCTCTGCAGCGTTTGACACCATCTCTCACAACATCCTACTCACCCGCCTCTCAGACCTCCTAGGTGTCACTGGCACAGCGCTGTCCTGGTTCACATCCTACCTCCATAACAGGAAACAGTTTGTCTCCATCAGTGGCTCAAACTCACCCCCGGCCTCAGTCCACCACGGTGTACCCCAGGGCTCTGTGCTTGGCCCCCTCCTGTTCACCATTTACATGCTCCCCCTCGGCCAGATCATCCGACATCATGGACTCAATTTCCACTGTTACGCTGATGATACCCAACTGTAGCTCAGCACCACTCCATCCTCCCAGCTCCCCCCTCAGTCCCTCATCAACTGCCTGCATGACATCAAAACATGGATGTCTTCCAACTACCTTAAGCTGAACAGCAATAAAACAGAGCTCATGGTTGTGGCACCCAAGGCCCTGCTCCAGAAGGTTGGTGACTTCATCCTCGAGGTCGACGGCTGCTCCATCTCCCCATCTCCTGAAGCCCGCAACCTGGGTGTCATCCTTGACTCCACCCTTTCCTTCCATTCCCACGTCAAATCTGTGACCAAATCGGCCTTTTTCCACCTGAGGAACATTGCCAGACTCCGACCGTCACTCTCGGAGTCGGTTGCCGAAACCCTCGTGCATGCATTTGTCACCACCCGCTTGGACTACTGCAATGGTGTCCTGTTCGGGGTTCCCAAAAAAACCCTGGACAGGCTCCAGTATGTCCAAAACTGTGCTGCTAGGGTACTCACACACACAAAGCCGTGGCAGCACATCACTCCCACCCTCATCCACCTACACTGGTTGCCGGTCAAGTCCCGTATATCGTACAAAGTACTCCTCCTTACCTACAAGTCCCTCCATGCCCTTGCCCCCCAGTACCTATCGGACATCCTTCACCCACATGCCCCACCCCGGAACCTGCGGTCCTCAGACTCTGGCCTGCTTACCACCCCCCGCACCAAACTGCGAACCTTCAGGGACAGAGCCTACAGTGTGGCAGCCCCCACCCTCTGGAACGCTCTCCCTGCGGAGATTCGCAACATCCCCACACTCAACGCCTTCAAAAGGGCCCTCAAGTCCCATCTGTTTGCCAAGGCTTTCGGCCCCTAATCGATCTGTTGTTTTGTCTGTCTGACTTTTGTTTTGTTATGTTTGTTTTTGCTATATTACTTGTAAAGCGACCTTGGGTCCCTTGAAAGGCGCTATATAAATGCAAGCTATTATTATTATTATTATTATATATATACATATGTATATGTATATATGTATATATATATGTATATATATATACAGTGCAATAAGCTTCTTAGTGCAATAAGAAGCTACAGGGACGTTAATCTACGTCGGTAATATTAACTTTATTTAATACAACATTTACGGTACAAGATTTAATCATACAGCCCATGTAGTATAATATTTTACAAATGATGAATTACAGCAAACATGTGCAATATATCCATTATTACAGCTCCGTGGGCTGGCAGTAAGGCGATATGGGTCCGTTCTTATTGTGCATCCATGGGTAAAGATAAACGCATGTAGTGCTGAACACGTAACATGAACGTGCCGGGCGGCGCGGTCCCGTGGGTTAGATGCGCGTTCATAATGCAGAGGGAAATAACTCACAGAATAACGTTATTAGCACATTTTTACAACTTGAGGAACGAATGTTTTTAATAAGGGCTATACAAGTGTTCATACTTGTCACGATCTTATGAAGGACCCAAATGCAGCACTCGAGAAACCAAGGAGTATTGGTAATGTACTTTATTGGTAATACTACCAGAGCAGAGGAATACCAGCAGAACAGTATCAGCCGGATGATGTGCAGGCCGACGAACCAGAGGACAGCGGGCAGAAGGTGAGTCAGGGCCGGGCAGAGGGTCAGGGAGCAGGCGAGGCGGTCAACGTAGGTACAGGCAGGGTCAGACAGCAGGCAAGGCAGGATAGTCCAGGGACAGGCAGGATCAGGGAACAGGCAGAGCAGGCAGGTCAGGGACAGGCAGGGTCGGAACCGGGTGGGCAATCTGGTGACAAACGCGTGAAAGACTAGCATGAAGACAAAGTACGATCTGGCAATGGGGGTGTGTCTGGTGAGGGTTTAAATACTGGCAGTAAAGCTAATGGGTGCAGAAGAGAAAGAGAGTGAGCAAAAACGTGGGTGTGGTTAACAGGTGAGACAGGTGAATGGAAAAGTACTGGTGAATGATGGAGCAGAACTGTGACAGAACCCCCCCCTTAATGGACGGCTCCTGACGTCCCTAAACACTAATCTACAGAGGAGGGTGGGAGGTGGGGTTAGTACTCATCTGAAAAAGTTCTTTCGGCCTCCTTCTCCTGCCCCCTGTGGGAATCGGCGTCCTCATCAGAAGCAGGCCCCTCACTGTCCTCCTCGGAAGAGCTGACAGTATGTGGAGAGACTCTCCTAGTGTCTCTGCCCGTCGATGTGATGGCCTTAGAAGGTTGCTCGGGATTGCGCTGATGGAACTCTCTGATGAGCCGGGGGTCCAACACATGACGAGCTGGAACCCAAGACCTCTCCTCAGGGCCGTAACCCTCCCAGTCTACCAGGTACTGGACTCCTCTCCCTCTGCGACGGGAACGAAGCAGTCGATGGAAAGTGTACGTAGGTCCGCCGTCAATCATCCGGGGGGGTGGTGGAGGAGGGACCGCAGGAACCAGTGCACTCTCTCGGACAGGTTTGATCCTGGAAACATGAAAGGTGGGATGGACCCGCAGAGTCCGAGGCAGTCTTAGCCTTACTGCTGCGGGATTGATTATCCTTATAATCTCAAATGGTCCAATGAACCTCGGTGCAAGCTTTTTCGACTCCACCCGTAAAGGAATATCCTGGGTGGACAGCCATACCTTTTGGCCCACCTGGTAGACGGGTGCCTTGGAACGTCGGCGGTTGGCAGAGGAGGCGTACCGGTTGGCCGAACGAACAAGAGTTATCCGGGCTTGATTCCAGGTCTGGCGACAGCGGCGAATGAAAGCCTGAACGGACGGACAGGTAACCTCCCTCTTCAGGGCCGGAAACAGAGGGGGTTGGAACCCGTATGCACACTGAAATGGGGACAGCTTGGTGGCCGAA